AATAAAACTCTACAGTCGCTTTACCCAATTCCTAATAATTTAATTATTAAAATTTTGACAAAGATTTTGTCAAAATTTAACAAATCAGAGGTACTGAGAATTAGGATGTTACATGGACCAAAGTAATCACAAAGGTCCCAAGATCCACCAGCACCACGCAATGTCATTGGTGCTCCAGTCTTCTAATGATCGTCATCAATATGTTTTTTTGACCATGGGGAACAAATGAGCCTTGAGCGGCCTGCTCAACTAAAACATCATGCCAATTTTCTCAGCAATGATTCGTTCAGACTCAGAACTTATTTGTTCATCAAATATTGTGCAAGTTGTCTTCCACATCTCATAGCAAGGGGGAGGGGGTGGAGATGCAAGCTTAGCAGAATCAAGTTTTGTTGACTCCGCTCTTGCCTTCATGAGTCATTTCTCCAATAATATGTACTTACCCCGCGATAATCGATGAGGTGCATCATTCAGCTTTTGTCGTTCTTGGACAACTAGTATTTTGGAATGCAAATAAGAAAATTAGACTAGTACATTATGTGTTAATACAAGAATTATAATAAACTAACTTTCCAAGAGAGGTCCTATCGACTAGCACGAAACTATATTTGGTTATCTTCACTAATCTGATACTTTAGACAAGAAGTTTCATCTTGATACTTTTGTAGTACATATTCCTATGTCAAAAAAGTCTTGAAGTTCATCCATCTGATGGCAATGATAGATAAAATCTTCTTCCTTATCACCTCAGTGTCAAGAATGTCAAAGTTTTGTTATCAAAAGATCAACAAACGTTAAATTCAATAATTTAGTTCTGTAATGTTTAAGAAATGTGCAAATACTTGAATATCTTGCCACATGAGATTCTTCTCAGTTTCCTCAACATCATATCCCATGATGGAATAACAATAGAAACATGATGTTAAACTATGAGTATCAAATAGCTCATAAACTTAGTAGCATTTTGGCCCAACGCCTTGCTAGAATGAGGATTCATGTCAACTTATGTCCTCTCTTTTGTAATGTGGTCCGTTGTCAAATCAACCAATTGGTTGATAGATCTACCTTTGCTCCTCCCACTACTAGACCCTAAATATGTCATAATCTTGAAAAAATAATAATATGATTAACAAACTTCAACAAAATAAATGCAAGATACTAATAACATAACAATTAACGTAATAAACAAACACCTATTACGTTGGTACGTTTTCCTATATCCCTTCATCATGGTCACTTTGAATAGCATGCATGTCATTCATTTCATTATCGATAATGACATCAAATGTTCTACTTGATAAAGAGGGTGTCTCATGCATATTGAGAGACTCTTCTTCATGAATTTCATGCTTGTTTCTTCCTTCCAAGACCACTAACTCATTTCTCATTACATGGGTACTTAACATAAAATATTTGTCTCACTTGATATATCAAAATAAAAGGTTCATCCTTATAACTGACCTTATACAAATCAACCAAAGTAAACCCTAAATCATATGTTTGCACATCTGTATTGTCATCAACCCATTTACACTTGAAGATAGGCACTCTGAAAGTAACATAGTCAATTTTCTATATCTCTTGTATGACTCCAAAATAACTCATAGATGTTGTAATGTAATTTTTATCTTTAGAATTAGCAAAGTGCACAGGCTAAACCTGAACTATAACCCCACTATTTTGTACTCTACTTTTGTCATCTTCTACTTTTGAATAAAAACAATAGTTATTAATCTCATACCCACTAAATAGAATGACATCACTGTTAGGCCCATAAACGATTCTTAAAAGTATATTTGTAGTATTAACCTCACAATATACCCTCTTCTTAAACCAAGTTAGGAAACTCTTGTTATGTTCATTCAATATCCATTTTATATTCATTGGCTAGTGTGATACCTTAATTTCTTTTATGTATTGCGATATGTAGGGGATTACTTCATCAATATTGTTCAATATGTTAAAATGTGTTTTGTCAACTTTTTTTTTATTGACATTTCTAATTTTTAAATTTCGAGTGCACTTACCTTCGTATCTTTCATCATGTTAAATTTTAGGAATTCCTATTGGATTAAATATAATAACTAATTTCAAAATGAAAAATGAAAATCAGTGATTAAATTAAAAGAAAAAACAAAAACAACCAAAACTTCAATTTCAACAACAACAACAACAACAATTCAATTGAGACATTTATGCATTACCGTGATTGAGATCCCAAAAACACCCATTGGTTGAATTTAGTAGAGAAGTACAGACATAGAGCACTAATTTGTATCTCACACAAAATATTCAAAAACTTCAAACTCAATTGGAGAGAAATGTTCACTACGACAAACAAGTCACAATGTGTGTGTCGTCACTACTCAACGTGGTAAAAAAATGCCCTCGAAGGTGCCCTAGAATCATTGTTCGCGTTTAATGCACTTTTATGTTGATCACTCCTTTGTCCAACATAAATGTTGCTTTTTACATTAGAACACATATGGTCCAATGTAAAATAAGTTGTAATTATTTTAAAAAATCCCACTCCATTTTTTTTTAATTAGTTTATTTACTAGTCTGACAAAATCTATTGATATAAAAAACTTATTTTATACTAGTGTTATAAAGTTAGATCTAAGTGTTGTCTAATTATAATTTAGTCTTCTCATTTTCCTTTACATTCAAAAGCAATTTAAATTCAATATTGTTCAATTTAGTTCTTCCATTCAAGTTCTTATACTTCACATTTGTTTACTTTTTCTCTCCTCTTTCTATTTCAATTCATGAAATTTACAATTTATAGTGTTTATTATTGATTTGTTATGGCTTTTTTATTCTTTCTTAAAATTGAATCGTGCACCAGATCAATTGAATGGGATAAATCTATTAGTTCAAGCTAATGGAAGTGTGAATGAGATCTATCTTGTGGTTACAAGTTTAAAATCAATAAATTAAAATATGTTTTTTATACCATAACTATGACAAATACTTGTGATTAGTACAATTAAAATACTTTATTTAATTTTTATACATTACTAATTATTCTATTAAGGTTTTAAATCACCAGTGCTAGAAAATAGGTTAGGTTTATGTCATATAAATCATTAAGTGATATGTATTTATTTATGTGGATTTAAGTGTTATTTAGCCACATTTATAGAAACAATTCATCCATATATTATAAAAAAAGTCAGGAAAAAAAAAATTGCGAACTTGACGACTATGATCATTCAAATCTACAATTAGTCACAATCTTCATGAAATCGAACTTTTCTACAATTACAACGACGTATGTACATATGTCACTTACTGATCCACGTTGCATGAAACTAATACTTCCTTAATAGTAATGATTAAAAACTATATGAAATAATTAATATTATATAAAAACTAAACAAAATATTTTAACCATATTAAATACAAATATTTATCATTATAGTTATATGAAAAATATATCTTGCCCCTTATAATTTTTAACTCTTTCTACTAAATTTATTGATCATATGTCTACCATTATAATGTAATTGAATGTAGTTTACTTTTAATTTTTTTTTAAGCTATATAAATAACCTCTTTATAGACAAGAGACATAAAACATTAAAAAATCTTTATAAGAAGAACTTGTCTCTATGAAAATATTCAAATTTTAACTATATTAATGATTAAAAACTATATGAAATAATATGAAATCCTTAATAGTAATGATTAAAAACTATATGAAATAATTAATATTAAATAAAAACTAAACAAAATATTTTAACTATATTAAATACAAATATTTATCATTATAATTATATGAAAAATATATCTTGCCCCTTATAATTTTTAATTCTTTCTACTAAATTTATTGATCATATGTCTACCATTATAATGTAATTGAATGTAGTTTACTTTTTGTTTTTTTAAGCTATATAAATAACCTCTTTATAGACAAGAGACATAAAACATTAAAAAATCTTTATAAGAAGAACTTGTCTCTATGAAAATATTCAAATTTTATAGGCTCTTCCAACATTTCCTTTATATAAAGTTCATATTTAAAATTTTTATTTTCGAAATCCTTTATTTCTTTTGTTTTAATCTTTTACTTCTTTCTGTTAAATTTTTCTGGCTTCCAATATTTCATAATAAATATAAATATGTCTCCAAGTGTACTTTGTAATATTTGATATAGAAGTGTTATGATTATTTTGTAAGTAAAATGATAAAACTAATAATAAAATATTAATACCACCACCAATAATAATAATAATAATAATAATAATAATAATAATAATAATAATAATAATATATTTGATAGCATTCCAATGAATATCAATAAATATATTTGTAACATTTTATGACAATTCAAATATAATTAGCAACTCTAAACTCATCTATAGGATTACAAAAATCTCTAGTAATAACTACAAACATCTCCATTAATAAATTTTGAAGGATTATAAAAATATCTAGTATAATAACTATAGACATCTCCACCAATAATTTTTGAAGAAATTCCCTAATATAGGCGTAACAGTATCACATTTGTTATTCGTACCATCACAGCATCATGATTTATATGGCCACGCACTGAAATATTAATTACTTGGATAAGCTTAATGAGTATTTATATCTAAAAAAACAAATTAAGTGTCTCATATAAAAATATCTATCATGTAAGTTAAATTTCATATTTTGCAAGAAAATAACTTCTATACACTAACTTATTCTTAATCTAATTTTGACTAGCATTACCTTAATTCATTTTTTCTTTTCTTCCCTGACAAAAATTCTTGAGAAATTTATACTTGTCAAACATCTAACTCAACTGACCCAGTGGCCACAAATTATGCGAAGTCAACAATTCCTTACAAAAAAGCATGATAATAATGCTTAGAACAAGCCTAGTACCAAAAATATTTTAAGCCTTGTACAAAAAGCAGATAAAATTGATGATCATAGAAGGGGCACGTCCATAATTGTGCTAAGGAGAATGACTTAGCTATTACAGGGAATCACAAACAGATGGAATTTCAGGGATTTGTCCGAAAAGGGTGGCCCTGAGTGTCTGGTTTGGAAGGAACACTGCACAGAAGATCATGGATTTTGGAATACATCAGCATCTGAGAGGGGTCACCACCATTACTGCTCTGCGAAGCACGAGAACTCTCCTGCAATTTAATCTTCTCGTAAAGATACTGTTTCTCAGCCTCGGCCTCGTTTAATCGCTGTTTCAGGTAGTTGCTAGTAAATTCTTCTTCTGATTTATCTTGCTTGGCAAGAGCAATCCTCTGAAGCCTCTCGGCCTCTCGTTTAGCCTCATTAGCCTTCAATTGGAACATATCAGCCTCTGCATTTTTGAGCCTCACAATTTTCTCTAGCTCTTCTATCTGCAGCTTCCTTTTCTGCCTCTCCATCTTGAGCTCTGCCACTTCTCTGGACTTGTCAGCTAGTTCCCGATCGCAAGCTTCGAGGGCCATGCGAGCCTTCTTGAACATCCTCATCTTCTCATCAGCTACCATTTCCATCTTCCTTATAGCCTCCTGCACCACTTCAGCAATTCTATTGCATGCATCCTGTGGAGCAATCAACCTTCCACTTTCGCCATTTTCCAACCCTTTTACAGAGTCCACCTCAAGCTCTTCAATTAGGAATACGCATTGATTAGAAAAAGAGGAATGCATACATGGTACAGCCATGCATGTCACCAACCCCCCAAACACCCCCCCCCCCCCCCAAAAAAAAAAGAAAACAGCCTTGGCCTTAAAAAGCAAAGGGAAAGAAATTATAATGTAGCATGCTTTTATAATGATAGCGTGCCATTGTTACCCATTTTCTTCCCACGGGTGTTCATAAATTGAACTTTAGGGTTCAATGAAGAGAAAAATTGTTCAGTTCAGAAATAATTTCAAAATATGCAACATACAAAACATGCATAACGCTGTAGTCTAAAAGCACCGGTTATTATTCCTACATATAGTTTTGGTGCATTTTATTGTTGAATCTACCTTATCATAATTTAGACATGGAAATCGATAATATAAAGGAGACAAAATGCAAAAGCATGATGTATATAAAAAGGAAGAAAAACAAGATTTCCAGTACCTTGAAAAAACATCAAAATTGCCCTGCAAGCAGCCTTTGAATCCATTTTTTTACTTTTCAATTTTTCCTTCAGATCATCACACTTCCAAAATAACTTTCTGCCTCGAGGGTCTTTACTCCCATGAAAGATTCTGCTAACATAATCAAGTTCCCTCATTAAGGCCTCTCCATCCCATGACGGTGCACAGTGCTGAAAGACATCTTTAACCCAACCCAACAGTTCTGAAGTCCTATTGCATGCTTGACACCTGAAAACCATTTCACTGGGTCCTGCTCCGCTCTTTGAAGAAGGGCCCATGCAAATAAGTTGCTGGCGAATGGCACAATCTGTGTGAGTCCAATGAGAACACAAATCACATCCAATCCAGCGGCAAGTATTCACCTCAAAGTCAAACTTGTTGCAGATCACACACATGCAAAGATTGCAGAAACCATTAGTGTTGTTGCATATTTCACAGGTACAATCATCAGCTGGAAGCTGGTTTTGGCACGCTATGTTTCTGCATCTCTTATAGCCAAAGATCTCAATCAGTGAAGTCTGCGATAGACTAATGCTAGGATGCAAAAATCCCTGAATTCCAGTATTTATTGCAACAAGGATTTCAAGTTGCACTCGATGTGATCTGACCAGTGTCTTGGCTGTCAAATCAGTTCTACCCTGAACAAACTTCTGCAAGATAAAAAATTCCTCTCTGTGCTGTGAACCATTCCCTCCCTCAAGGATAACTCGAAGTCCATTCTTCAGCTCTTCTAGATATTCCTCAGGTAGACGATGCATTTTTTCACATATTGTACCGACATTCTCTCTGGCAATGTCCTGAAGAGTAACTTTGTCTGCACTAGAAACTCGGTGAAGCACTTTCTGCTCAAGGCAGTTAATCTCCGCTTTTCCATTCTCCATCTTCTTTGTCGTAGCTGCATCAGCTGTAGGCCAAGTTTCTAGAGAACTTGCACTTTCAGCTGGAGACTCACGGAGATTGTCAGAGTTTGATCTAGGTTCATCAGGAGACAGAATAGGGTCTGAAGAAACGAGAGACAGCGATGTTTGTAATCCTCCAACCTGTGATTGTGGACGCAGAGGGAGCATTTTTGGACCCCTGGTTGCTGCTACGGAAGAAGATGATGTACCTATTAAAAGATTTACACTGTTACTGTTAGTCACTAGTCGACAGGGACAATATGCACATTTATTTACCACAACACAATTTAGGGCAATCAGTATTAACTAAACCCCTAATTTAGTCCTTAAAGTTGCACGGTTAAGACATTTTAGTCTTTGGAATTATTAAAAACCCCTCTCTTCGTTGAACTAATTTGGGGATTTATTCAATAATCACTTTTTGTTACCATTGAATAGATGGAGATCCGACTGAAAATGAAAATTATCAATAATAAAACAAAGTTCATAAAGCTAAAATCCATCCTAACATAAAAAGCATCTCATCTAGCTGAACATCTTACAAACAGTAACACATGAACGTCGAAGCCAATTGCTTACTCTATTAATTCCTTGATAATAAAATCGATAAATTTGCTTAATTAATTAAGTAACGGCGGGTTTAATCTTTCCCGTAAGAACACACATAGAAGAATCACAGTCAAGACAGCTGAAATTAGCTTCCGTTTAATCAACGGTTTGGAACTAACGAACTACGCAAAAGTTACAAGAAGAAATGAAGTTCGAAATTGGAGAAGCTTACTGTCCTGATGAACCCAAATGGCCGATCGAAAGATAAGGATGAGATTTGATTCAACAAACTTATTTTCACACTGGCCTGAATGAAGAGCATAGAGGAAAACCTAACTCGGGAAGAGACAGGAAGGGAAAGCCGTGTTTTGTAATCCCATGAGTGACCGGTTCAGCCGGTTCTCCAAAGTAAACCAGGGACCAACTAGTCTGGTCGCGATTTGTGACATCCATAGTTACGTTTGGAACAGTTCGTTATGGTTTTAAATTCTTAAAATGTAATATCAAATTATTTTACGTTCGGTTAATTTTTTATAAAAATAAAATAGTGAAAGTTATAATAAATTTAAAAAGTAAGTTATTAAAATCTGTCTAATTAAAAACATATGTAAATGTATTTAAGAATTTTTTTATATTCATATAATAAATATGTAAGTAATCATTCTCATTTTATATTATCGGGAATGTAAAAGATTTCAATAAACAAAAAGCTTTGAAAAATTAAATGTGTTTTTATTTCTAAAATGTGGCATTTAAGTTTATTTTATCACTCAAAATTGTTTAATAACAATGACAATTAAACCTATAATTGGGGAGATTGATTTGTCTAATTCCAAATTTGATGAAAAAAAAAGAGTTAATTGAAGGGAATGTTTTAAAAAATCAAGGATAGGGGTTCCGACCCAAATTCGTTCTCGTTCTCGTTCCCATCCAGACTTTATATTTCAAAATTTAAATTTTAAAATATTAAAATTTTAAAAATAATTTTTTTATTTTTTCATTATATATAAGGTCATTTTTTTTATATTTCATCATTTTTGTTTTCCTTCTGTCCACTTTTTAATTCTTTTGTTTTTTTAATCTTTTTATATAAATTAGTTCATTACATTATTTTCTTTTTCTTATTTTTCACTTTTTCACATTTCTTTAATCTCTTCAATCAATGTGTTTGTTTTAATCTTTTTAACTAATTTGACGAACACAAAATTAATTTTTTTTCTTTATCATTTTCTAAATATTTTACATAAATCTTAGTAGTAACCAATATCATTTTATTTATAATTTATCTTTATTAGGTTTTATAATGTTATATTTTTTGGATCTTATTATTTGTATTTATCATATGTCAAATTTTATCTTACTAAAATAATTATATTTTAAAAGATTAAAAAATTTAATAATTTAAACTTTAATTACTTTAAACTAATTAAATAGGAATTAACTTATTAAATATTTTCTTACAAACTATATATTTCATATTTTTAAATGACAACTTAACAAAGAATTAACTTTTATATATATATATATATATATATATATATATATAATTAAATATTTGAATATACTATTATTATTATAATAATAATAATAATAATATAAGTATTCTATGTCTTACATACATATTTTAATATAAATATAAAAAATAAAAATATATATTTAATTAATAATAATTACAAGTTATAAAATTATAAATATTTATTTTTGTATAAAAAATACATAAAAATATTAAAATTAATTTATTATAAGTATAATTGTTTTTTTAAAAATAATGTAAATTGGGGATGAGATGAAGACAGAGAAATCCGAAACTCAATGGGAACTTAATTTCTAACCCAACGGGGATTAGGGGCAGAGATGGTTAAAAAAGTTGAAGTTGGGGTCTGGGGAGGTAAAAGTCGCCCCTGCCCGCCCCATTGCCATGCCTTGAAGAGGAACATTTGTGTTCTATAATACGGTATGAATATGGCGTGGCCGGAAAACAAATAGAGGTTGACCTGAAAAAAAAAAAACTATCACGAAAGTTATTAAGATAAAAATAGGAGGAAAATAAATAATTGAGAATATGAAGTATGGTTGAAATTACTACTATTAAATACTTTTATGAATCTCACATTATTTATAAGTTGAGGTTAAAAATAATTTATATTATTGTTTTAAAAATTGAATCGGCTCGAACGATTCAACTAGTCTAGAAAACAGGCTATTGTTTCCAAATAATAAGATTTTAATTAAATTGGGACAAAACCAAAAAATTTGGACAAATCGAAAAAATCGATTGGATTTTTGGTAAAAAAGAAAAATATATAATTTTTTAATATAATTCTTTTATAAAATATATACTATATTTTAGTTTTTCTATCTCATATTAGTTACATCAACTTTAGATAATAGTTATATTTACTTTTTTTATCTTAATTAACAATTATCCATCTTATACTTTCTAATATATTTTATATTTGTAATCTTCATTGTAACTTATATTCACCATAACAATAAACCTTTATTATTATTTTTCTTTTCTAAAAAAAATCTTATTAATGAACTTATTATATACTTCTTATATTATAGAAATATTATTTTATTAAATTTATTTAGACCCTGATTGAACCGTAGTAGAGCCTTTAAACCTTGAACTCATGTCTTTATCAGTTCAATGATAGGTCCGATTTTAAAAACATTAACTTATATATACCTTTCTCTCTCAACTGATATGAGTGCATTTTTTAAGTTAAGTATATAAGGTGTTTAATACAAATAAGAAAAGAAAACCCAAGGAAGATTCCCATTGGACACTAAGATAATCACTTATCTAAGTGTGAAGGTACACTTACAAGTGTTCAAGTGAGGAAAAAAGAGGATTCAAGCAAGAAACAATAAATAATAAAGGGCTGGAAGTGAAGCACTACTCATGCCCACAAGGAAAAGAAAATAATGAAAATGGAAAGGAGAAAAGAAGAATAAGGTGAGCAAGGAAAGGTGACACTCCACTTGGGGGATGGACCAACCCAAGATGAGTGGTGGTTGTCACCACTTAAATCAAGGTTCAAGGTAAGACTCAATAAAAAAAAGAACACTCAAGTGTGTAGCTCTCAAATTTTCATTCAATTTCTAACCATTTACAAGAGGTGGGGAGACTTCTATATATAGGCTAGGGTGAGTGATGTATGTCATTTTACTCTTTATTTCATGATCTAAGAGCATTTTCTGAGCTAATTATTTTCTTCATAAACCTTGCATTTAACATGTTTTCATTAAAAACAATGCATAATTTATTTTTTTTCTTAATTTGTTGCATTTTGAATAGTTTTAGCATAAAAAATACATGCATATATCTACGGTGCATATTTCTTCTTTTTTTTTGGTAGGAGAAAGGTAATTTGAGATGAGCCAAATTGATGCAGCTTAGTTTCACTCTTCTCAAAAGCCCAAGTTTGTTTGTGCAGCCTACTTGCAGAACATTACAAATGAAAATTTGAATCAAGCAAATTAACTAATGCGGGAATCCCATTTAGTTGAATTAGAGGCTAGTGGGAATAAAAAATTAAACGCAAATCGGCATTGGATCACTCAAAATAGGAAAGAAGCGGATTATTTTCTTCAAATCAGTCCTAGAAATTTCTCGTCATAACAATCTAGTTTTGTAATTTTTAATTTGCAAAATAATTGATTTTATTCCCACTGGCCTTCAATTGGATGAAAATATGAAGAGATCACACCTTGTGAAAGCAATTTGTTAATAGTTGTAGACCCCAAATCTTGCCCCGCCTGCAAATAAAGAGTAGAAGACCTCCTATTCGAAGATGGACGAAGCCTAACAAGCCACTAGGAGAGACTATTAGGCCCCATACTAGGATAGGAAGGATTTTCGGCACAAAAATAAAGTTTCTCGCCCTTTTGGGACGAGACCGCCGTCTCGAAATCGAGACCCCCGTCTCACCTCACGCAAATGGTGAGACCGCCGTCTCATTTGGCGAGACGGTGGTCTCGCCACCTGCGAATGGCGAGACGGCGGTCTCGCTTTCCCAGACGGAGTTCTCGCCACTTTGGCATGGCGAGACGGCGGTCTCGTTTGGCGAGACGGCGGTCTCGACCCTGTCAGACGAGAACGGCGGTCTCGCCACTGTCAGGCGCAAAAACCTATAAATAGGGGCTCCCTCCCCTCATTTCCACACACCACACATCATTCTCTCCTCCTTCTCTCTAGGATTTCTCTCTCTAGAATCCCTCTGACGCATTTTCGGAGCTTTTGAGTGTCTTTAGAGTGATTTCTGAGCGTTTCGAGAGGTTTCCGGCGCTGTAGAGTGAAGGGTTGCCACAAAGCACCCTCTTTTTAAAGAGAATTAATAGAAAAAGCGTGCTTCGGAGGTTTACATTCTCCCTCTCCACTTTTACCGCTTTATTTAAATTACGCAATAGATAGGGCCATGTAGTCATAATATTTTAATTCCGCAAATAAAAGGGTAAAAGCGTATTTTCCGGTTTATTTATCAATAAAAGTAGTTGGCCTGTCATAGGGAACCCGAAAGGGGTGTCGTAAAGGAACTAACACTTCCTTTACACGTAACTAACTCCCTTACCCAACTCTGGTTCTAATGACCAAAGTTGGTTTTTCGAAAACCAACGCCTTTTAAACCCCTTTTTCGATGTTTCCGGTAAAAACATTGGTGGCGACTCCACAAAACCCTTCAAAAATTAGTCCTTGGGTTAGCCTGGTTATCGGACAACCCAAGGACGACCTTTCGAAAACCTCGCCCCTAGGTTAGCCCGATTATCGGACAACCTAAATGCATTGTAACCACCCATAAAAAACGCGAAGACAAGAGGGTCGAAACCATCGCGTCGCTCCGACCGCCTCTCCTTTTTTATGGCGGCGACAGATGGCGACTCCACTGGGGAAGCCTCGAGAGTTGATCCCATTTAGTGATGGGCCGGCTTAAAACTAAATATACCAAGAAAATAACGCTTTTGCCCTTAACTTGTATTATAACATGTTTTACGGTTTGACTTTAATAACTGTTGCTTGTTTATACTTACGCAATTGTGTGAAATATAAACTGTACACAAACCCTTGCACACAACAGTTCCCTCTATACCCAGGGGCAAGTGAGAAATCCATAGGGAGTGGGTGGCAGGTACGATTCGCTGTAGTGAGGGCCTTTAGCCCACCAGTGTGATCGGAAACCACCACTCAAGGTGATAACCTTCCCTTTTTGGCAACAAGACTGACTATGGCCTTAGTGCTAAGCATGGTCGGACGACTGGAGAGTGGGGACCCTATAATGGGGGCACCTTGGGGGCCTTAGCCTGGTGAGAACAGTTAGAACCAACCCTCGTCAATGCACTTTTCTACAGGAAAACCCTACCTCGTGATAAAAACGAATTCTCGCCTGTTCGTGGATGATCGAATTGTGTGTGCATATGTTTGTTGCATTTGTCTGTTGCATAGCATAACC